CTGGGGGGGTTCGGGGGTCCCCCAGGCTCACCTCGGTCTCCACCTTCTTCCTCTCCTCCAGATCCAGTCGATCCTGGTCGGCTTTCTGATCCCGGTTGAATTTTTCCAGCTCTTGGGCCAGCGTGGCGGCACGTTTGCTGGCCTCCTCCTTCAGCCGGTGGTATTTTTTCACCTAAAGCGGGAGGGGGGACACAACGGGGTGAGAGGGGGGTCCCCAAATTTACACGGGGACGCCGGGACGAGCCCTACCTGGTTCTCCTCCAACGTCAGGTCGCGCCCTTGGCTCTGGCTCTCCTCTTCCATCCGTTCCTCGAATTCTTGCCGCGCTTTTTCCACCGACAGCATCTCCTTCTCCAGCTCGTCCATGTCTCCCTTCCGCTTCTTGTACTGTTTCTGCGCGTTCTGCAGCGATTTCTTGGCCGCTTCCAGCTTCTTGATCTTGTGCGAGGTGTTCTCCTTCGCCTTGATGTACTGAGGACGCTTCTGGTTGAGCTCCGAATCTTTTTCCCTGCGGAAAATAAGAAGGTGAGGGGGGGTTTGGAGCTCCTCACCGAACCCCTTCTCCGTTTTTGGGGTGCCTCACTTGATCTCCTTCTCGATCTGCTGTTGTTCCCTCATCATTTTGCCCAGCTCTTTCTTGCGATCCTTCAGCTCGTCCTCCACCCGATCCATCCTTTTTTTATCCTTATCGATCTCCCGGTTTTTCAAACCCAATTCCTTATTGAGTTTCTCGATCTCCGCTTCGTTATGATAAAGCTTGAAAAGCTGGAGCTGCACTTGAGCTCGCACCACTTCGTCTTTCAATCGCTGGTAACGATCCGCCTGACGAGGCAAAAAGGGGGAAATACGGCGTCAGAGGGGCGCGACGATGACGCGGGACCCCTCCGCGTCACCCCTCAAACCTCTTCTTTCTCCTGCTTGGCTTCTTTGCGCTCGGCGGCGATGTTTTTCTTGCGGTGGTAATTAAATTGAGTGTCCTCCTCTGCTTTCACCATCTCTTTTTTCCGCTTGTCGTATTCCTGCGCCAGCTCTCCCGACCGACTGATTTCCTCGAACAACGCCGTCCGTTCCTTGGGGTTCTTCATGGCGATGGATTCCACGGCGCCCTGAGGAAAGGGGGTGTCAGGGGGGCCCCCCTAAATCTTCACAGGGGGCTGGGTTTTACCTCTGTGGAGAGGGGAAGGGGGGAGACCCCCTCCTCAAATCCTCACGGGGCTCCCCCCCAGGGCCAGGGAGCAGAGTAAAGAGGGTGTCAGGGTGGGGATGAGCCCCCCCCGAATCCTCATGGGGGTCTTGGGGTCCCCCCATGGCAGGGTAATGGGGTGAGGGGGGTGTCAGGGTGGGGATGAGCCCCCCCAAATCCTCACGGGGGTCCCCCAGGGCCAGGGAATGGGGTGGCAGGGTATGGATGACACCCCCCCCCAAACCTTCTTGGGGGCTGGGTCCCCCCCCCAAATGG